AACCAGGACTAAACCAGGAAAGGACTAAACCAGGACTAAACCAGGAACCAGGACTAAACCAGGACTAAACCAGGACTAAACCAGGACTAAACCAGGACTAAACCAGGACTAAACCAGGACTAAACCAGGACTAAAACAGGACTAAACCAGGTCTAAACCAGGACTGAACCAGGACTGAACCAGGACTAAAACCAGGTCTAAACCAGGAATGAACCAGGAATGAACCAGGACTAAATCGGTCTCAGTCCCAGTGTGGTGTACGCGGGCGCACTTCCGGGCCCGTCCCGACACTCAGTACAATGGGGGGGAGGAGGTTTGCATGAGAGCTGGACACTATCATCTTTTTTCTCTGAGGAGTTTGCAGGTGTGTGTATGTGACAAACGCCCCAAAAGTGTCCCGCCGCATGCGCACTGGAGGACACAACAATGTCACACACAGCGAGCACGCTCAATGTGTATGGAAGTCACCTAAACACGGACGGTAGCGTTGGGCACCTGACGATTTAAAAGTTGCCAGAACCTGTACAGCTTATTTCTTTTAAGGAGGAGACTGAGAAGGAGAAGGACGAGGTTTTTTGTGGGGCAGTGACAGCGACGTTCGTAGAAAGGAACGTGTGGGTGCAGAGTCGCGGCCAAGAGAGGAGGGATTGCGATGTGCTTCACTGCTTCACTGACACGGAGTTCATACACAATTTGTACGATGAGAAGAACGTTTGTGTACATTTGTGAGCTTGTTGATGACGTGTAGGTCGGATGAATGCTCCTTGGCCGTTCAGACTGAAGTCGCACGTCAGAAGATCGGATATGTATCGGTTTTAGGAGCACATATCCAAGTGGTCTGGGTCGCATTTGAAAAAAATCGGATCTGTGTTGTTCAGACTGTTCATTAAAAGATGTGATACCGGTCGCATAGGGGCGAAAAAATCGGATTTGCCCAAAACTAACAACAGTTTGTCAAATGCACTTCAGGAAAATATGTTTTTACCTTTTTGCTGCACGACCGATGCAATTTTTGTCAGCTTTGTTTGCTTCAGATTGAGTGGTTAGATTAATAAAATCACTCCAACGCAATTTGGGGATGTAACGATATCTAAATCTCAAGGTTTGATATTTACGGCGATACTGTGGGACGCTCACGATATTGATCCTCATGTGTCTTTGCTTTTCAATGATAAGTCTTACGTGCAAAATAGGATGGAATAGTAAAAGAAAATGTCCAAAAAAAACTTAACTATGGTTCTTACAATGCAATTTGTAAAGTTTTGCTCTTTAAAGCACTTTGATTAACGAAATCTTGAATCATGAAAGCTTCTTTTGTTTTTCACTGTGAGAAAGATCCTTGTGAAGCTGGGTCGTCTACCTTCGCACTCGGCCCAGAGGATATGTGGGTTAAAGCGAACGAATGAACGAACACTCCGAACAGACGGGAGGTGGAGGTTACCAGATACGAGACTTAACACAAAAAAGTGCTCTAATCTGAAAAGCTCGACAAACAAGAGGCTCTTAACTACACCACTGACAAGGAGGAGCAGGTGTGCAGACATAAAAGGCGCAATTAACCTCAAGTAATCCGCTGGAGGATCCCCCACCTGTACCTTTCTATGAAGATGCTATTGATTGGAGAATGTTCCTTAGTCTTGTAATGAACAGGTTAGAGGTCATGTCTGTGGAGTGGCGCCCCCGCTCACAGTAAGAATACATGTTTTTCAAGGTATTTTTGTGCAATAAAGACACCCGTATGGAAATGAATGCTACTTCGATTTGTTTAATTGATACTTTGGAGTTGATGTCAGCGTCTTTTCCCTGGAGGAGTGACTCTAATGTAGGCACTGCTCTGTCTGAGGCTCGTTAAGGCTTTAATTTGAGCTGGACTCTAACACAATCTGACCAGAAGGAGCTGGTTTAGTTGGAACTACAACAGGTGAGCTGATTTGTCCTGATAAACAAGTCTCACACATTTAAGCTCGTTCGCACGGGCCAACAGTTTTTCAGTTACTCCCACTCACCGCCGTTGAAAATCAAACACATAAACAGGACCGTGCACAGTCATATTGATCACGGGCTCCTGAAAATGTGCCGTGTAAATCCAGGTAGTAATTATACTCTTATGCTGCGTTCAGACCCGTGTGTCAAAAAACGAGCTGGACGCCTCTAGTTGGACGCTTTTGCTCCCGACGCGCATCTTGGACGCCACAGACCAACGGGAGAAAATTACTTGACGTGCATCCAGGGCATCTGCTGTGTTCTGTAAGTGCCTTGTTTTCCCGGTCGAGAGAGTGGCTTTAGTCTATTTATTACATAAAACCACAGCAGAAGTGATCAGCTCGGTGTCTGTGTACCGTATTTTTTGAACTATAAGTTGCACTTTTTTTCATGGTTTGGGTGTTTCCTATGACTTATACTCCGGTGCGATATATTATATTAAAATGTTCACACAGATAACCACGAGAGGGCGTTCTAGGCTTGTGTGTCAGTATTTGCTACTCCTATTACTTATGTACCACTGTCATTTAGCTCTACTGCGCATGTCTCCTGCTGCAAATAGTGAAATATTCAGCCGAAAATGGTAATAGAGCAGCAGAAAGAAAGTTTGGAGTGAGGGAGAAACTTGTGAGGGACTGGCTGAAAGCGAGGATGGAGAACACAGCTTCACGCCATGCAACTTTCCTGGAAGTCACTGGATCAATCAACAAAGCCTGGACTTCAGTGACACCGAAACCATCCTGCTGGGATTCAGAAAGGCCCGAATAATTCTAACTGGAACTGATGCTGAGTCTGACAACAACTACACAGAAGAGGAAGCGGCGCTCTGTTTACCTCCAGAGGTCACGGAGTTGCTCAGAAGTGACACCGAGGATGAAGAATTCAATGGATTTAGTGATTTGGAGTGAGATGGAGAGTTTGGTAAACTTGTTCTGTTCTGTTGTTTATGTTATAGTTTATCTGAAGAACTGTTCATATGTGACGTTAACAGTCTGTTGTTCTCTGTTCTATTGTTATTACTACAACTTGACTTTCAAGATGAAATGTCGGTTCCTGATCTCTGAAATGTATAAAATAAATTTCCCCCAAAAAGTCTGGTGCGACTTATACATGCTTATTTCTTCCTCATTACGCATTTTTTGGCTGGTGCGACTTATAATCTGGAGCCATTTATAGTCCGAAAAATACACTATTTATAATCGGCTAATGACACGGCGTAGATTTGTTGTTGTGGTGTTTGTGGGTCCTGGGTCTTTCTCTTTCTTTTCCTTCTCCCAGGATATAATGTCGCTACATCACTGGATAATAGTCCCTGATTGGTTGACATGTTGACGCCAGATTCTCGCCGCGCTGACGCCTGAAGATGCGCTACAGAAATTCAGACTTTGTTTGTAGACTTTGCATGTAAACTGAATGCCTTGACTCACCGGTCTGAAATATACAAACACTTTTATTTATTTATTTTTTTTACAACTTTCTGACAAGGTGTGCTCATGGGCGCTTGTGCCACCATGGTAATTGTTGAACATTCCCCCACGGAGATACATGCGCACCCCCACTGCAAAGTATCATTCATCATTCAGTATCAAAAATACACAATCTTTGTTCAGTCATATGTTTATTTTCTGACAACTCCGGTGGTTTTGTCGAGATGAGTCCCAGAATTCAGCCATCAACTCTGGCGTATTGTCTCATCGCTGGAGCAGCCCTTGAGCAAGGTCATCGGCACCAATAAGGTCCTATTCTGTTGTAACAGAGACTGTAATTCCCACATGGAGCTATTCTGACAGAAACTCTTTACTGGAACAATGCTGACTGGACACACTGTATGGCACAAAATGGCTATTGCAAAGTGGTGCATTTTGTCCAAGGTCAAATTCAAGTTTATAGGTCTCATATTAAACCAAATGTGCTTTTGGGAGGTTTTAATCTAGTGAAACGATGTTGTTAGCACTAATATCCTTGGAGTTGTCTGTTGTTTAATTAAGTCATGTGGCAAATTGCTGTGCCGCTAATAAATCTTTAAAACATGACTCACTATTGCCAGCAGGGGGAGTCAGAAATACAAAAAAACACAGTGTGGTCCAGGTGTTGATGTTATTTTAGATTGTAACATGAGAAATATCAATGTCAAGGACTTAAAGAGGGGTACAATATCAACTTTTTGAGCTTTCTACTAGAGCCCTGCACTCCCGCTGGTCTCCCGAAGGACCCGACACAGAAGAGTGCGGCGCGGGACACATTTTGAAATCTCAGTGCGGGCGCAGGCGGGAGCAGGACTGCACAACGCTGGAGCAGGCAGGTGGGATGATAAACTGCAGTCCCACAAACTAAAGTAAAATATATATAAATGATTAATGTAAGCATGTCATCCATAATTTGTGCTGGATATTTAATTTGGTATTAATAAAAACATTTGTACATCTGTAAACCAAACCAAATCGCCACTAAACCAGGTCTAAACCAGGACTAAACCGGGTCTAAAACAGGTCTAACAGGTGTAAAACCAGGACTAAACCGGGATTTAGCCAGGACTTAACCCCCCCCACAGTCCGAAAAATATTGTCTGATATAAAACCGGTTTGGCGCAAAAAAGTTTGGGGACCTCTGTTTTAGACAATTCCTTTCCGCTTCTCTGTGCTTGATAGAGCTTAAGAAACCGAACCTCCCCATCTTGCGGGATTTGCGGGCGGGAGCGGGACAAAATATTGCAGATAAGGGCAGGAGCGGGGCTGAAAATTCTGTCCCGCGCAGACCTCTACTTTCTACAATGTTATAATTTTGCTCTCTTATCAAAAACATGCTGGATGAGTTGATAGCATGCTGAAGGAGGAGCAAATTTAGCAGTTTCAAAACAATAAAAGGTACCATGGTGATCCAAATACTGTATGTATTAGCCCATAGAAGTAAAATCCACCTCTTTAATGTATATACAAGAATCAAGAATCTGCTTTAGTGGAAGAATGCAGTTGTTCTTGGTGTATTTTGTTCAGAATAAATAGTAAAAAGTGAGTTACCTCCACTAGCGTCCTGCATCTCCATGTGCACCAGGTCCGGGTCTGAGTCCACACCAGACACTGCCCTGTAGGCAAAGGAAAAACAAACAAACATTAGGAACAAGATTTAAAGCATAAAATATTAGGTGCACCAAGAACTTAACCAATATTAACAAAAAATAACATTACAAAAATAAATCATGTCTACTTCTAATTATAAAACGCTTTTATCCTGTGTGTTTTAACCAGGAAATAAGGCAAGTGCACTCCTAACATGCTGGTTCTTAGCCTTGCCGTGACAGCGCAACTCTGCTCTGGGCTTTGAAAGTTATAAAAAAATGCTTATAAATATGAATAAGGTCCCCGTACTCATTTTTTCCCCATGTACTTGCCGCGGTACAGATATACTGTATAAGTAGCTCTCAAGGTCACAATAAGACCGCCGCGCTGTCAGCATCTGATTATAAAGCGTGTTACTGTCCGATAACCAGGAAGAGCGCATTAGCATACTAGTTGCTGTTAGTTTACTGAGGCTAGATTTTAAAAACATAAATAGTTCAATCATTAGGATGCTCAGAATGCAGGAGGAAAGCGAGGAATAACTTTGGACCACTGCAAACCACTGAGAATGAACTTTTCAATTAATCACCGTGTCCAATTTAACCGCTGGGTTCAGGTGTGTATTTGGATTAATAAGCGCCAGGTCCAAATAAACGCAGAGTCTAATACAGTCGAGTCCAGCGGTCGTTCTGGCTGTTGCCGAGGAGGCTTTTCAAACTCACATTTCCCGTTTTTTGTGCTTGATTTAACCAAGATCTCATGATTAGTGCAGTGACACCACAGAGAGCGTGATGTTTACAGTTTACAGCCGACACGGGAGCAGTTTGACTTCAGTTCAGTCCTGCCTTTACCGGACTCATTGTGTGACTCGGAGTGGACAGGCTTTATTCCGATCAGCCTCACCTTCACTGAAAAAGCGGAGGAACAGATGACGTTGCTGTGAAATCCCAGTTTCGAAGCAACGTAAAAAAGAAAGACGGTGCAACATAGCAGGCAGGAAATGGAAGCAGATTTTAGGAGTTTTGGTAATATTACTTCAGTTTGGCAAGTCGGAGGAAGCAGCAATGTCACGGTCACTGCTGTGGCGTAAGAGGAAAGTTGTGTCAAAGAGGACGAGGCAGCAGGAATCGTGTCGACAAGGTAGGAAAAGCAATCGTCAAGTCATCGTATAACGGCGAAGCCTCTTCTGAAGTGTGCCGTAAAAACAGTAAATTATAGTCATACCGGTTAAATGAATCCCAGTACTGTATTTTCCGGGCTATTAGATGCGATCTTAAGCCTCCAACCCCATCAAAAAAAAAAAAGAATGCGCGCCCCGCAATCCAGAGCGCCCTATACACGAATCCACTCGGGTGTCCCAGCACGACACCAGTAAACTACAAATCCGCACCACCCACTGCGCACGTAAACACACACGGAGCAGACAGCGACCGCACAGCGAAAAACACCCACAGACACACTCATCACTCCACGCCGACGAGGAACGGAACGAAGGAACGAACCAAAAAAGCGAGTGCAATGTGCCACTTCTAGACACGACTGAGTCACTGTGAACACGCCGACAATCCAGACAGCACCCTCCCTACACGCCACAACTGAACAAAGCCCAGAGTCACCGTGAACGCACCAAACAAAGTCCCACTGACCCATCCAACTGTTGTGTTTCGTTTAAAGTCCGGTGCGGATTATTTGTGAAAAAAGTTCGAAAATAGACCATTTAATGACAGTGCGCCTTATCATCCAGAGCGCCTAATAGTACGGAAAATACAGTATCATATTTTCCAAGTGTCGCTGAGCAAGATTTTTGTGAGGAAGGAATTAATCGCCTGCCCCAAATAGCCGCCTTGTCTCAAATAACTGCCCGGTCTGTTAAGTGACTGAAACAAATAAACGCCCAGGCTTTAATTTCGTATTTTACGCTAGATCTGTTTTTCTCGTTTTTAAAAATCATATAACACGCCCGTAAGAATGTGTTAGGAAAGTGAAGAGCAAGTTTGGACCACTGCGAATATGTTTAGAAAAATAGTTTTTGTGACATATAAAAAATAAAAATAAGGTACCCTACAGTGCCGTTTCAGTAGCGCAACCTTACGCCCTCCATCTTTTCTCTGTGGTTGATTAAAAGCAGGAGAAGTCGGTAACATGACCCCTCTCCTTGTTACTGATTATATGGAGAGTTTACGAGCATTTAACAGGTCATGAATCTACCGCAGGGTGAGGGGGGGGGGTCTGAAAGGGCAGGAGCTGATGTTTCACAGAGCTTTAGAACGGGTCTTTTATGGGCTAACATGATGAGGAACATGGCCTACGCTGACCCATTAGAAAGCACTATACGTTAGGAAAGATGTAAGGCTTAGAGGGTTTACTAGACTCCTTTATGTAGTTATTGTTAGAATATAGCTTTATCTCAGGGTTATGTAAGCATTTCTCTTCAAAACTGTTATGAAAGTAGACTGTCCTTACTGGATGACGTTGTAGTAGCAGTAGTTTTACCAGCAGTAACAGTGGTAGTAGTTTGATTCACACATACAATTAAACTAACAAACAACAAACAAACTCTGCATATTTAAGTTAAATTCTCTTCTCTCTAGGACTTTTTACAGGGTTCCCACGCTCACGGAAACTACTGGAAAAGTCATGGGAATTGAAAATGTCATGGAATTCTGTAAATTCAATGAAAGTTTTGGAAAAGTCAGGGAATTTTAGTATCTCTTTCACACGCCACCAAGTGCCTCTGCTCAATTTCATTTCTCTCCAGCGACTAAGTCAGAAATTGGAATACACTAGACGATTTGCAAGAACTTTGGAAGTTTTAGACCGCGCACCGGCCAATCAGAGAAGAGCTGTGAAGCCATGACGTCAAACTCAAGCGCCTGTCTGGGTCCCTTTTGTGGTACAGTACAAGAGTAAACAAAGCGGTCGAGATGAATGTAGACGAAGCCAACGATTCCTGAGATCGAGGATTTAAAGCCGGAACAAAGAGAATGTTTCACTGTATCAATGTAACGGGCCTAGCGGTGTTTTTATGCTGGACTACCACATTACTTATGTTTTATTTAATTAAATTTGTGTCGGAGTGTGTGGTCCGGGGGAAATGTTTTGTTGTTGTTGTTGTTGTTTTGTATTTGTTGAGGGTGTTACTTTATGTTTTTGCATTTTGTTTTATGTTGATTACTGTAATTTATTAAATGCTGATTATTGTATTTTGTTAAGTGTTATATTTTGTTGTCTTTAATAAAAAAGAAAAAAAAAAAAGAGAGAATGTTGGTGAATTTTATCAAGGGGAAAAACATTATTGCCCTTCTTCCTGTGGTATTTGGTGCATTACATACGTCACGATCAAATAGCAGCGATTGGTTAAATAAAAAAAAGTACCTTCCTACCGTCGAGCGAATGAATCCTAATGCTGTGAGGTCAGACGGTTTCCACAACGTGAAACCGTCTGATGAATCAAGCTACACGACTACAGCGTTCTGTTAAGTTCTCATTAGGTTATTAAGATTATTGCACCTTTTGTTTAAGAGACGACAATAAATGCACTGACAGTATTTTGAATGTTTAAAAACTATAATACCAAACCATAAGGTGAGTGGAAAGGGTTAACATTTCATATTTAGCCCTAAAACTCTGATCAATTCTACACATGTAGGTACCGTAAAGTCATGGAAAATTCACTTTAGGTCATGAAAAAGTCATGGAAAATTTTGAAATTTTGTCAGTGAAAAAGAGTGGGTTACTGCTTATGTCAATCAGACTTCTTTGAAAGTGACTGGACTGTGGTTTATCTACTAAAATATATATATCTATTTAAAATCCCTTATTATACTCAGTCCAAACTATTCAGTATTTTGCCTGAATTTACAACTTTTAATGATTTCCCTTGTACATTCATAAATATAACAACAAACTACCGCTAGACATAATATTATTCACATTGCATTGCCAAACGCATAAAAAATCCAGATCTCTCCATAAATTTAAATGTTGACCTTCTCCCGGACTCCTCTCTATTTCCAGCACGGAGGATTTCCCATTGGTTTCCTAAGCAGCTATGTTGTGCGCCGAACCTGTTTTACGACCTCCAGTTATTGCAGTCTAGACGCTCTGTGCTCTGTTTCTAAATAAATGGCAGGATTTTCGCCGCTGTAGTTTTTTTTTTGTGACAAAGTGACATTTCCGTGCGTCGGGAAGAGCAGTCAGGAGTTTATGGGCTGGGTGAAGAGCGGCGGGGAGAGGGGCCAAGCTCGTCCGGACCACCAGAGCAGATGTGGTTTAACAGCGGAGGGAGTGTTTATGATTTATGGGTGTACCACAGGGCTGCTGCTTGTCACCAGTGAAGTTCATGACTGTTTAGTGAGTTTAAAGGCACGAGGGAACAAGCTCGGTCTGTCTACGCTGACCACACACAAACATGGAGGGATATTCAGGGTTGGGAATTACATGGATTCCTCACAGTACAATATGATTCACAATAACATATTAAAAAAAAACCTTTGCGATATGTGTGTTAATCAATATACTGGACATGATATTCTGTGATCTATCGCTAATTATAAAACATCTCTACAAATTGGTATGTTTTTCCTTGTTAAACCTCTACCTGCACATGGAACGTTTACATGGGAAACAAGAGGTGACTTTTAAAATGTAATCCCCTACAGATTACAGATTACATACCCCAAAATGTAGTTTGTAACGTAATCCATGAAGTTACTTAAAGTGAGTAACGTAATCTGAATACTTTGGATTACTTGATATTGTCATGTTTTTTAAAACTACATGAATGCAGCGACCACATCCTGAAAATTCTTGTTTGTTCTCTTTAAATTGGCTGTTGAGCCCAAATCTCAATTGTTTGCAACTGTTTAACGTAAAGTAGCAAAGACTAGGATATCGTAACATAAGATGTTTTGTCCTGGTTTTAGTTCCTGGTTTAGTCCTGGTTTTAGTCCTGGTTTAGACCTAGTTTAGTCCTGGTTTAGACCTGGTTTAGACCGGGTTTTAGTCCTGGTTTAGACCTGGTTTA